GAGATGACAGGTGTGTGTGTGTGTGTGTGAGAATTAAATTACCTGTGTCTGTGTGTGTCTCTCTCTACAAACTATGAAGCTGTTTAGTTACTTCGATTTTACCTTGTTGCTGAGGAAGATAATGAAGCGAACTAGTATCTATGTTATTTTATTAATAAAAGTCGCGGGGCAGCACCGCCAATAAGTTTCTGTGTGTGCGCAGTGCGATCTGCAATCTCCGACCTCTCTCTCACTCTCACTGTTTATGTGTGTGTGTGTGTTTGTGTGCGTGTGTGTGTGCATCAATTAAAGCAGCGCATTAATATAGAATGGTGATTAAACTGGCCTGGCATCATTTTCATATGGAATGAATGAAAGTAAAATACTAAGAGCACAGCAGTGGGTGCATACAACATTTATGACAGGTTTTCATGAAAGTGTTGGTCAGTTTGTCTGCTTGACAATCCCAGTTTGCACTGCAACAATAAAACTGAAGTGAGATAAACAAACTGAGAAATGTTTATTTTTAGTTAAAACAGATGATGCCGAAGTTTTCATTTGGGGACATAATTTGAAGTTGGAAAAAGGTAATAAATTGCAATATATCGCAGAATATCGCAATATATTTAAAATCGCAATAATATTGTATCGTGACACAAGTATCGTGATAATATCGTATCGTGGGGCCTTTGGTGATTCCCACCCCTAATAATTTCCTCCCAAAAACATTTTCTTTTAGGGTTAGACATTCATAATTAGCTTTATATAAATCAATGAAATGTAATAGAACAATGGAATGTTTTCATTGACATATCTAGGTAAATCTATTTGTGTGGAAAGGAAGAATAAACTTAAAAAAATGAGTAAAATGCTGGACCCTTTGCAGTTTGCACAAGAATATTAATTGAAAAGACACGGGGAGTGATTCTGGTCCTCTGCCGTTCACCCTGAATCTGAGCTTTAACTTTGCCTGAGTGTTTGAGTGACAAAAATAGCTCCCATCTGTTTTCAAAGGGCTCAGCAAATACCGACATAAAGGCTCCATGCTGAACTAAGGTGTTAAAAAACTACCACTAAACACATAAGCACAGCACAAACATGTAATGTACTAGCAAAACCTTTCTTTCTGGAAAGACCTAAAACTCTGGAGCCGTAGTTCAAAGTTAAACCCACGCCACAAAGACTGTGAGCAGGCTAATTTCCAAAGGGCAAATAATGCTCATTCTGAATCTGCACTCTGTGATGTGAATAAGGCTAGAAACAGGAAAGACCCATGTATCGAACTGCTTAAGCATGAAATTTGATTATGCTTGTAAGTCAAAGTGCAACATGGCGAGGACACTGACGCAAATGTTGTAGAAGAGCGATTCGAAGATGAAGAGAGGCTAACTGATCCAGTACTATCATCCCAGAGGCACAGAAACCTGAAACATGAGGCTCCAGATCCAAAAAAAAAAAAAAACACATGACAGGGAACCAGTTTGATGGGCACAGAATCAATCACATGAGTTGGGATGCGGTCTCAAAATGTCTTGATCCAAAGTCCAGGCAGTTAAAAGAAATTATTCTTGGATCTAATAGATAATGCTGAAAAAAACTCAAAGATGTTCAGGAACTTTTAGAAACAAGTAATGCATCTAAATACTCTACTACAATAGGTTTCATTTTTTTAAATAGAACTCAAAAAAATTTAAAGGCCTGCACAAAGAAAATGGTTTTGTACAGTCCCAAACACCCTCTTCCCAGCATGCACTGAGGCATGAATAAGTAGGATTGCATTCGTTGACCATTTGCCATAAACTACAATTTAAATGTTATTGTTGATTTGTGTCACTTTTAGTAACATGTTGACTTGGTCCTCTACTCAAAATTATCAGTTTTAATAAGCATTTCGCTCTCCATGTACACCACTGTTTGAACGTTTGGCGTCAGTATTATTATTTTTATTTGGCAAGGATGCATTAAATTGATCAAAAGTGATAGCAAAGACAATGTTACAAAAGACTATTAAAAATGCTTTTGAACTTTCTACTCATCAAAGAATCCTGAAAAAAAGGATCAAAGTTTCCACAAAAATATTAAGCAGCACTTTTTTTTTTTTTACATTGATAATAATAAGAAGCATATCTTGACCAACAAGTCAGCATATAAGAATGATTTCTGAAGGATCATGTGACACTGAAGACTGGAGATATGGCTGCTGAATATTCAGCTTTGCCATCAGAGTAAAACACATTTGAAAATATAAAACAGTTATTTTAAATTGTAATAATATTTCGTAACAATGCTGTTTTTACAATATTTTTGATCAAATAAATGCAACCTTGACGAGCATAAAAGACTACTTTCAAAAACTTACCGACCCCAAATGTTTGAACGGTAGTGTAAATGCATACAAATATTAAGCAGTTGAATTCAGTTCAAAATAAGCCATGCAAACTGTTTACTTTATTTTTTAAGTTCACAGCTAAAAAACTGTTTATTAACATAAAAGGCATGAAAGTTTAAATAAAAAGAGGATGACAGGTCCCAAACCATTACAGAAGAAAAGATGACAATTAATAACAACTAAATAATCGCAAAAGTGCACAGATGCGCTACCTGCTTTGTGCTTCTCTCAAGAAGCTTTCAGGGCTGGAACGGGTGACATCAGACTCAGATCTGAGGACATTAATCATTTGCCTCGCAGCACAACAAAAGCCACAAGACACTAAGAAGGGATGGGGGAGACTGTGGACGAGAGTGCAGTCAGCATCTGAAGCAGGCAGGCTCTGGCATTAGGAGGTTAGGGTTCGGGCACAAAGATGCAGTCACACAGATCAGGAGGAAAAGGGGCTCAGAATGACAAGAAAGAAGGGAAGGGGAACCACAGTACAGAAAAATAAATGACTAATGTGACATTTCTCAGTGAAACATGATATAATGCACCAGAATTTGTGATGTCAGCTAAAAAGGAAAGTCATTTTAGAAACAAAACAAGTTACTACATTTTGACAAAAGACTATATGAAGATGACTATTTTGTCAATTTAGAACAGCATAAACCAACAAATCATTCCTAATAAGATCAGGAACGTGCATTAAGTAAGTAAATAGACTGGATTTTGATTTCATGTGAACTTTAACTTGTTAGATCAGGTACAAGCTCACAACACAGATCAGACACAGGGCTAAGGACATCAGACTGTGATTTACATATTACCAAATTCTGTCTCAACCCCAGACAATCTCAAGCAAAGAGTGCAATCTGATTGCATGCATTTGACAGATGATTGCTTCTATGCCTTGAGCTGTTCTTGTGTCCAATCTGTCATAGAGAGGGATTTTATCAGTTTGAAGATGTTGTGAAACACTCTAAAACCCAACAACTGTAATGCCAGCAAATGAGGGCACAGGATGGAGAGCATGGTCTTTGAGCAACTCTCATACACTCGCAAGAGAGCGGACAGGTACAGCATCTGAAGCTAAGCTTCATTACATAATCTGATGGTGATTATACAGTAAAAAAGGCAAGGTTTCACTGCTCTTGCTTTTCTCTGCTCAACTAAAAATAGCTCACAGGACACAGGTGGCGCATCAGGTTTGATGACCACTTGTCTGGCACTAGCAGCCTTGCTGGTGTTATAAAACCACAAAACATGCTGTGAATTCATTTCTTAAGAGACTACACTTTAGGTTTATAGTTTAGAATTTAAATGAAAGATTTAAAGGGACAGCTCACAAATTCTGGCATCACTTTATTGCCCTCATGTCTTTTTAAACTTGTATGACTTTCTATCTTATGCAGTTCTTCAAAAAAAGATTTAGTTGGTAACTAAACAGTTTCGGTTACCTTTGACTTCCATCATATGGACATGGAGATATTTATCAAAATATCCCATTTATATGTTCCACAGCAGAAATAAAGTCATAATTTTTCAGTGAGTTTAACTTAAGAACCAGATCAAACAAATATGAAGCTATATATATATATATATATATATATATATAAATATATATATATCGCTGCAAGATTAATCTTTACTGAGCCGAAAAGAACACGTCACACCTCTGTTCATCAATTTGCACCGGCTACCAGTAGCTGCTCGCATTAAATTCAAGGCATTAATGTTTGCCTACAAAACCACCACTG